CTTTTAACACAATTAAGAGAAGATCACATCAGTCAAAACACATCTTAGTGTCTAATATCATCTTTTTGTGACTCTTATAATCTTGAGGAGTCATGAACACATTATTAAGCATCAACCAATATTTTTTGTTTCCTAATTTTATTAAATATTTCTTGGTCGATTTTGATTTACTTTTGTTTTACTTTAATTTTTATCGAAAGTATTCATTACGATTTACAGTATATTAGAAAAATAAAGTCCGACGTTACCTGGCTTATATGTTTTTACATTGGCGACATTGAAAATGTACGAGATTTGAATTTGCAAACGAAAAAGTTTTCTCCCAGTGGTATTAAACTAGGTAGCTATTATTAATCTACATTAATAGATTCAATATATTAAATATAAAATTTTAATTTTATGAAGTATTATCTTTCAGGTAAAATAAATTGTGGCAGAAACGGGCAGTTTTGTTCTAAATTGGGTGTAACACGATATCCAATTTGGGGCATGCTTAAGCCGGGTGGAGCTTTTGAATTTCATCACGGAAATAATCTCAATAATGATATTATTAAATTTATGCAAATTAGTATGAAAACTACAAATGTTTGGGCCCTCTCTGCAGAAGAAACATTATCGATATTACAAAGGAGTAATGATATTATGTAAACATAAATCACATTTTTAACAGATTTCGTGATGCTAATTATAACAAAATTACAGGAGATGAAGTATGGTTTCTAGATTGGTTTACACCGTGGTGTCCACCTTGTATAGAGTTTCTGTCAGAACTCCGGAAGGCATCGTTAGAATTTGAAGCGTCAATAGTTCGTTTTGGCACTATTGATTGTACTGCTCACAATACATTATGTCACCAATACAACATACAATTTTATCCTACTGCTATGCTCATAAATGGTAGCAATACATATCAGTTCACATTATCAAAGACAGCTGCAAATGTTATGTATTTCATTAACGAAAAAAGAAATCCATCAGGTGAAAGATATATGCCAATAATTTCTTTCATATTTCCGCGTGTTTTTATTATGTTTGATTGTTTGATACAGTTATAGAGTTAACAACAAAAAATTTTCGTCAGAAATTGGGGAAGAAAAAGAATGATGTTATATGGATTGTTGATTATTTTGCTCCGTGGTGTGGGCCGTGTCAAAGATTAGCACCTGAATGGTCAGCCGTTGCGAGATCGCTGAGCGCTTTATCCTTTGTAAATGTTGCCAGTATAAATTGCGAGACTGAGGCTTCCTTATGTACATCCCAAGGAGTGCGGTCTTATCCCGATATTAGAATATATCCATTAGGAAGTGAGGGTTTAAACACAGTCGCGTAAGTCATTACACGTTTTGTACATGTTTAATTATGCATTCGTGTAAGTTACATAACATGACTCAATATGTATTCATAATTCGTTTTTATTATTTACATTACAGTTTGTACAATGGGCAACGAGATTCGTTATCTATGTTAACATGGATAACAACATTCTTCCCAAAGAAAATCCCTGATTTAAATTTTTCTGACCTTCAAAAGCTATTGAACAGCAAGCATAATTTGATAATCTATTTTTCTTTGCCAAATTGTCATCATTGTCAAAAGTTGCAACCTGAATTTGCAATTGCTGCTCAGGTAAAAGTTACTTCATTGTAAACAATCAATTTGTCTTTTATAATCTATAATTTCTTTGATAGCTATATCGATTATAAAATCTGTTTAATTTCAGTTGCTGGATAAAGTGAAATTTGGAAGGATTGACTGTTCCTTCTATATACATAAATGCGAACAACATATAAAACAAAGTATACAGATACAATATATATCCTTTCCAACGCTAATATTATATAATTCTAAGGAAAAAAAACGAAGTAAGCACAATAGCGTCGAAATTGTTGCGAGATCGACTCAGAAAATCACGGATGAAATTTTAAATATTATTAATTCTCGCACAAAACACGACGAACTATAATAGACAAAGTGCCTAAATTGAATTTAAGCTTTTATTTTGCAGTCATAGGTGATTTTTTTCTTTCTTTGTAATATTATCATTGCAGTCATACATAAATTCTTTCTTCACAATGTACAAATAAATTTATTTTTTCGTATGTTATCACACAGACTTTGATATAAATTGAGAAAATGTATGATTGATTTTTTTCAATATATGAGTTAATAATTAAATATATTTAATTTATTATTATTATGTATTATTATATTATTAATTACTCAATCATCTGTTATATTCTATATTTACAAAGCCCATTTTTAAAAATGTAGGATATATACAGATTGAAATATTTATTTTGCAGAATATATAATAGTGTATAATGTATATTTAGAAAACATTTATTATCAACTATACAAATAATAATATAGAAAAAACTAGTTTATTTCAATACAAGAAAGAAAAAAATCACATTCTTGCATCTGGCATCATAATTTAACTTGCTGAATTGTTGCAACGAGAGAATAGAAGTTGTTGAGAAATTTTAATAATGTACTTATTTGTAAATGATCTTGACTGCCACAATTGATACTTGGTTTATCCTGACATGTTCCATGTTTTCAAAGGGAACAAAGAAAAAATAGATTAGGTATATTTTTAGTCTTATTGTGATACTTTATACATTTTATACATTTTGTATATATTATTATATATAATGTACATATAATTAATATTATATACGTATAGAATAATATAATTAAATAAAATCTAGATGAACAAACCAATTTGGAATCTCAAATTAAAAGTTTAATCACAACAAAACTCTTTTCCAATACTTATCGGAGATTCTGTTTGTATAGTAATAAACACGAATCATGAACTTTATTAACATGAGGTAAGTCAAAAGTCTTATTTTCTAATATTTCTGATATTTTTAAGATGTTATTCAAAAATAAGTTTCAAAAACAAAATAAGTACAACAATAAGCGTCGAAATTGTTGCAAGAATAACTGAGAAAATCAAGGATGAAATTATTGTCTTTAATTTTAGAAATTATTCTCGCACAAAACAAGTCTAATAGACAAAATGTTTAAATTGAATTTAGACAAAGGCTTTATTTTGATTTAAGTCATATGTAACTTCTTTCTTTACAATATATGACTTTATCATTGCAGTCATGCATGTATTCTTTCTTCGTAATATTTCTTCGAATTTATTTTTTCATGTGTCATCATACAGACTTTAATATAAATTGGGAAAATATACGATTGGCTTTTTCAGTATATGAGTTAATAATTAAATAGACTTAATTATTATAGTTATTTAATTATCTTATAATATCCTATGTTTACAAAGCCCATTTTCATTGAAAATGTAGGATATATGCAGATTGAAATGTGCATTTATTTATTTTGCAGAATATATAATGTACAATATATATATATATATATATATCTAGCAAAAATCTATTATCAAACATGTAAGTGATGGCATAAGAAAAACTAATTTATTTCAATACAAGAAAGAAAAAATTCACATAATTTCTTGCATCTGGTATCATTTAATTTACTGAATTGTTGCAACAAGAAATAGAAGTTGTTAACAAATTTTAATAATGTACTTATCCGTAATTAATATATCGCTTGACCGCGATAACTGGCGCTTGGCGTTTATCCTGATATATTCCAAAGCAACAAAGAAAAAAAACTAGACCAGATATTTGTCCTTTTTTGTGATATTTTTATACATATTTTATGTACATAGTAATTAATAAAATATTTATGAATAAATTAATAAAATCTGAGAAATCTCAAGCATTAAATTAAAAATTTAATTACAATGAAATTCTTTTTATATTTTTACCAGAGGTTCTGTTTATACAAAACAGTGAAAAACATAGATATCATGAACTTCATTTATTAACATGAGATAAACCTAAGTTCTTATTTTTTAATATTTCTAACATATTTTTAAGTTAACTTATTAAAAAATAAGTTTTTACGGTTTTCTCTTTTTATAAACGCATTAACATTTAACTCGATGAAATCTAATGAATTTCTAAAAATAGTATCCATAAATATAATTGTTACACGAATATAAGAATTAATACAGAGATAAATACGCTATAAAAAATGCTGAACCATTACGATTCCGTGCGTGTTTGTTGTTTAAATGCAATATATCCAAATATTTTATATATAAAATATTTTACATTTTACACATATAGATATTTAAAATTATTTATATAGTTTGTTTCAAGATTTATAAATATATAAATGAAGAGAATATCGAATATCAAAGATGTCTAAACGTGCTGTGCTTCTTCTTTTTGTAAGTTTTTCTTCTCGTTTATTAATTACATTGATATGTACTCAAATAGAAAATATAATTTATTTTCCAACAGTGATAAATTTAAAGATGGAATGTGTTAAATGAAGAAAAACAATGCAACAATGCATTTCTATGCATAACAAATATGCACTTTGAAACTGTTGACAGGTAAATTTAAGTTTACTTTATATATTCTGAAAAACAATCTTGTTTTGATTAGTTTTATCTTATATTATCATTTAATATAAATTTAAGATAAATACTCTTTCAAATATAGAGTATAAGTAGATTTTAATACAAATGTACTTTCTGATATCACATAAACTCGCGGCATGCGAAGGCAGTGCTAATAGAAAAATGCAATTGAGAATTAAATAAGTAATATTATAACTGTTTTTACGGCGTATATAATTAAAGCATAATAAATACATAACTTTCCTAACATCAATTTCTTTGAAACAGAAAAAAAGCTTTTTAACATCAAAAATTTTAAAAACAAAAAAAAAATTTTGTTAACTTTTTTATATTGCATATGTGTGATATATTTGTAACATTAATTCTTTGATGTCGATGTCGCAAAAAATCTAACAATCACAAATCTGGCAAAATTCCATAATGTTATGAGTATACAATAAACATAGACTGCATTAAATTAATTTAAACAAATTAATAATTTTAATTTAAAACATACATTGCATATTTCTATCTTAGCAAATAATACAGCGAAAGAAATTGTGTTTTGTTAAAACTTTGAAACAGAATACTTTGGTCAAGTTGATTAAGTTTTATTATAGATCTTAAAGACAAAACATTCTAACTAATATACAAAAATGAAATAAATTCGTTTAACATTTATTTGTAATAAAAATAAATTAGACTTTATTAGGTTTATTCTTTTTTTCAGAATATGCAAAATCTATATTTTTTTAATCCAGTCTTATTTTTTTCTGTATTTCCATATCATTTATCTTTAATTTATCGTTTTTTATTGTATAGAATATTATTTAAAAAACTTAGTTCAACTTTGGAAACATAGTCTATTAACTGTAATGTAGAAAATAAGTTTATTAATTTTGATAATTTATATTATTTTGTTTCAGATCTTTTTTCTAAAAGTATTTTCAAAAATTTTAATGTCATATAAATTTATTGTATGCTGAGAGTATGTTTCTAAAGTTAAAATGTACTTCTCGAAAATATTCAGTAACAATAATGCGTACAACTTTTAAAAATGTGTATAACTTTTTAAAAAATCTATTTGTTTTTCTTAATATATGATAGTATCTCTTATTCATTAATTAGCGACATTTCGTAATTCAGGACACACACGTATAAAAGAATTTTAAAGTTATAAAGCATAAATATAACAAGATTTTTGTGTTGATATAACAATTTGATATCTTAAAAAGAAACAAATCTTCTGAAATTATATACTATTGTGTCAGTATAAGTCAGTATCGCATACTATGTGTATAGTTTTGTATACATGTAATTTCTATACATTTCGGAAAAATACATTGTGTTTGACAATCATATATCTTTATAAATGTTAATCTGATTAATATTGCACTAACTTTTAAAAGATTGCAAATATATATATTTTTTCTGACATTGATACATTATTAATATAATATAATATACACATAATATGATACAGCTGATTGTAAAAGTATAATTTTATAATTCTCGAACCTGTGAATTGCTGGCAGTAGTACACGACTAATAAGTCGTGTTAATATCCACCGTTTCATAGTTCCAAATGTATGTTAACCAATTGTGAACCATGAATAAATTATAATTTGTATTATAATACAAAAAATGTATATTATGTGTCACGTTTCGATGGCGGTATTAAATGTTCTGGTAGTTCAGCCGGTAAATCGTATCCTTCGAGCTTTATATTAATTAGATGCATGGCTAAGGCAAATTCGTCAGAGTCTAAGAATCCATCTTTATTAATGTCTGAAAGTTTCCAAATCTTTCCAAGCACGCTGTTTGGCAATTTGGACTTGACCATTTCTGATTTGGCCGCTAGTAATATAAAGTAATAATTATACATAATTAGAATATTTTATTTCAAATTGCCGCACTTATATAAATATTATATATTTATATAAAAGTGTTTACATAAATCCTCCTAATTATAGCAGCAAAAAATGCAGAGCTATATAAGTAAAAGCAACTATCATCTCTATAAATTTATCAGTCATACCTGCTCCCGTAATTTTTCCATCTTGTGGTTCAAGTGATTCAAAGATACTATCATATTTATATCTTTCCTTATTGACAATCCATTCTGGTTCACCTGCACCTGCATCAATTCCTTCTCCTCTTTTATATCCAAATGGACTAACTTGATCTTTTACACCTTCAAATGCTCCTCCTAAAATTGAGATATATATAATTTTTTCTACAAATTTAGAATATATAAATATCATATTTTCTTGTATTAATTTTTTAATCAATTAAATTTAACTTTTAGCAAAAATTTTATGGAAGATTCAAACAATTTTTTGGAAGTATTTTGATTCAAGATTTACTAAGATTTTAATGTAAAACAAATGTTAATAAATACCTGTAAGTGTTTCCGAAACGGTAGTAACTTCTTCATGTGGTATCATAGCCATAAGCTTCGCGATATCTTCAGCGAGCATTTTATCCACTACTTCTAATAACTTAGGCTTCAGGGGATTAAATTTATTAAAATCGTGATGTGCTAAGCTCTCTTGCATCTTCTTTAGATCCGGAAAATCACCAGGTGAAATCTTTTGCTCCCTTTGAATTTGATCGTAAGTCTGGCCCAAATTTTTTATCAGTTCTTTTTTTTTAGTATCCTTACCAAACATACTCGGCATATCTTTCCGCAAGGCGCTTATTATGTACGCGTGTACCTATAAATTTTTGATAAATTTTGATGAATTTTATTGATGTAAGGAACATTAGAGTCTTAATCATGTATATCTAGTTTAAGACTTTACACTGGAGAAAGAAATTAATTCTTTGTTTCATATACCTTTGCTAAGCGTGCTCGTTTAATTAAATCATTAAGTTTTCTTAATGCAGCATTTCTTGGAAGCGATTGCATATCTCTGAATAAATCTTGTTCTTCATCTTCAAATAGTCTAAAAGAAGATTCACAAGACTTTTAAATATAAAATATTAATACAAATAATTATATAATAAAAATAAACTAGAAGATGCACAAGCACTTACCTTCTATTAACATCATATCTTAAGGGCTGATCCCAAAATGAGCCAATATAAACTCTAGCTACTTCTGGAGTTTGTAATACCTTTCCCAATGACCACATTAGAGCACCATATACTCTCATGAGCTGTTGATGATCTATCATGTCAGCTTTATTAAGAACAATTCTAATTTTATCATCATGTCCACGTAAGGCTTCGATAGATCTGCGGAATTCATCTGAGATATCGAGCTTATGAGCATCAAATAACAAGATAATCCTATCTACGCGTTCAGCAAACCATTCTAAAACACCAGTAAAGTCATAGCCTCTGTCAACCTGAAGGAAATATTCAATATTCAAGATATACATTTATCATATCACAAATACATATATATCTTAATATGTAAAAACAAAGCTACAAAAGCAATACCTACTCTTTGTTTCTCACCAGATAATATACCAGGTGTATCTACTATAGATATGCCTTTCAAAACAGGCGACACTACAGTTGAACACTGAAATCTGTTCAAGAATGCATTGCCGAATTTTGAAAGTGGCCTAAACTGTTTATTTGGATCTACGACCAAGGCATTTCCAGGAATGACTCCTTCCTTTTCATCGTACATGACAGCAATAAATCGATCCGTAGTAGGCTCTGGTCCGATTCTGATACCAGGAAATTCTCTTTCTAACAGATATTTGATAAATGTGGTTTTACCAGTGGAATATTGTCCAACTAAGAGAATCATAGGTTTTGCATCAAAGTCAGGATCATCCAGTTGTGGCGAATGAAAGTCATGGAATTGGTAATATTGTTCCAGTGGTAACAACTTTGATTTGTATATCCTCTTAAGGCCTTCGGTAACATTTTCGAAGAGATCTTGCTTGCTATTCTCCTCGCGACTCAGCCAGCTAAACATGTTGACAATCTGCAACAAATTGAGTTCTATATTCTTGCTAATGAACTTGTTATCATGTATATTCGTGCACAGTCTGAATTCCAAAGACTCGTCGCATTAGCATTAAGTAACACCGTGTCCTGTTAATTATGTTTCCTTTGTTTGAACTTTTGTAAGTATGAATTGTGACTCATTGTCAGACTACAATTCTAGACCAGTCATTCCGAACTGATGCAAGACAGCCTACAAACGTTAAGGTCACAATTGTCAGACTATATTCTGCCTCCAAATTCCACGTGCCTTCCTTGTGCCTTCGAGACGTGTCTTTCAAGGTAGACTGAAGACAGACTAAAGGATATTGCGTGGAACATTGTATGCCTTCTGAGAACTCAGTCATGCTTTGTTTTAAAAAGCAACTTATCAGTATTACCTTATTTTCTGATATCCTATCCAGCACCTCCTCCTTCCTTTCGAGGAATAGTTGAGATCTCAAATATTTGAAGTGTGCAACACAGAATGAAGTGCAAAAATGTAAATGAGTGTGAAAAGGAACACGTGGACGGGCTAGTAGAGGAAGTAAAAGAAGAGAGAGGAAGAAAGGGGAATCCAGAGAGCACCATCGAACACCAACCTTTGCTCGTATCCGTCGGTCAAGGATGAATGGGTGCGCTTGACAGAGCGCGACGGACGTGAGGGCGAGCGCGGACTAACGGAGAGCCGAGAGCGCGAGGAAGGCAACGCTCGGTCGACCAAGACCAAAGATCCAAGGTGGTCCGCTGCCGACGTGACGTATATCCAAACCGATCGCGGAAGAGTACGCTGAAAATGAGCAATACGGACTTCCGGAACGGAGGTGGTGATGGTAGTAGTGGTGGTGGCGACGGTGGTGATGGATGTGGATGGACGTGGTGGTTGTCGCTCGGATCTCTGCCACGATGCTCACCGAGTCACGATCGCCAGTGGTGACGTAAACGGCGTAACTGGTGGAAGGCGCGTCGCGCTGCGCGAGCAGCTCGGAAAAACGAGCGATCGCGAGGCGGAACCGTGCCTGATAAACCGGGACTGATATAGAACGCGCTCTTGGAGAAGATAGACGACCGATAGCTCAAAACGACGGCACGACTCTACGACAACTGACAGGTTGTCGACCACTGTACGACATTCAGCATTGGGCTCAGTGCCGACAACTGACAATTGCCAAAGCGCAAACGAGAGAAGGGATGAGGGGGGAGGATTGCTGACTAATAGGACATACCCCGAGTTCGTACATTATGAATCGTTTTCATAATGCTATGTTAGTTGAATGAACAGTTAAATTAGCAATCAACTAAGTAATAAGAATTTATTCTTATTACTGTATGAGAGTAAATAAATTAATATATTAATAATATATATATATATATTAATAATATATTATAGTGTATATA